AACAAACAACCCAATTAAAAAATGGGCAGAGGATATGAAGAGATGTTTCTCCAAAGAGGACATACAAATGGCCAACAGGCATATGAAAAAATGTTCAGCATGTTCTTTTTTTTTAAGGTTTTTATTAAAATATAGCTTACCATATTATATTAGTTTCAGGTATATACCATAGTTATTCAACATTTATATGCCTAAAGAAGTGATCACCATGATAAGTCCAGGAACCATCTGACAGCGTACCACGCTACCACAATATCATTGGCTTATTTATTTTTTACCTGGAAATTTGAACCTCTTATTCCTCTTCACCTTTTCTCCCCTTCTTTAATTTTTCAATTACGTTGACATTCAACATTATTTTATATTAATTTCAGGTGTACAGCATAGTGGTTAGATAATTATATAATTTAAGAAGTGATCCCCCTGAGTACTATTGTACTCATCTGGCATGATACATAGTTATTACTATATTATTGGCTATATTCCCTATGTTTTACTTTATATCCCCATGACTACTGTGTAACAACCAATTTATACTCTGATAGCACATTCTTTAGAACATCTTTTCTCAACTGGGGTTCCCTGAGAGATTTAAGCCGCAATGACCTTGGGCATCCGTGGTCTGTAATGAAATCATGTCCCTAATGTGCACAGAGAATGATACAATAAACTAATCCCTGAACACATTTTCTTTAAGGTTTAATTCTCTTATGTAACCCAATTGAGAAAGACTGCTTCAGAATTCCCTTTAGTGTGTGGATCTTTTGATGATAAAATTTCCTGGGCTTCTGTTTAAAAGGTTTATATTTTGTTTTATTTTGTTTTTCTTAAAAGGCAATTTTGCTGGGTAAAGAATTCTAAGCTGTGAGCATTTTTCTATAAGCACACTGAAAGTATATTTTCTGGGTAGGAGGGTTCCATTCATATTTGGGAAAGACTCACATAGTTATGAAGCTGAGGTATAATCACAAAAGAAGAGGTTTGAATCAGAAAGACATGTATTCAAACACCTCTTTGAACTTTGGTTTTTCCATCTACAAAATGTGTATATATATATATATATATATATATATATATATATATATATATATGTTGCATGGCTGTTGTTAAGTTTAGAAACGATGTATATATTGCATTTGAAATATATATAATACATTCTCATGATTATCTCTTAGTCTATAGTTTAAGCATGGATTTCATGAGTCTGAGTTTACAGCGCCCTAGAATGAAATTTTATGTAGAAATTGTGTAGGTACGTGATAGAATTCTCCTTCAGTAAACTAGCCATTCAGATTAGTGGGAAAGAAGATAATCTGCCTCTTTTGTCCTCAAACAGGAGAGCTCCTTCCTCCCTTTGGATACCAGATTATTTGCTAAATATCTCAAACCTCCTAGGCACTATTTCTAGCAAAGTGATAATATTGTAGTTATAGTGCATTGGTTCAAATTTAGGCTAAGTGCTATATTTTGATTATAAGCATGTGATTACTTTCCAATGGTGTCATTTGAGAAAATTAGCTGAGTTATCCATGTATATGTGGCTTCTCTCACTAATATCTGTCCATTATCAGTAAGAGCTTTGACTATACCCAGACAGCTGAGGAGTAATAAGATACAGGGTGCTCAATGCCAGGCTTTGCTGTCACACACATCAGAACCAAAGAACCAAATTGCTGTTCCTTCTCTCAATGGATGTGATGCACCAGGTCATGCAAGGAGACATGCAGGCTGTAGGGAAATGCCTAAAGACATTGTTCACTCTCCCTTGCATTGCTCCCTCCTACACACACACACACACACACACACACACACACACACACACACACACACACACACACACACCAGGGGTTTGTCAGTCAGCATTATAACACTCTGGCATGGAGAGAGCAGTAATTCTTACTCTGTCTTAGGCCAGAAATCCTGCACTTCTTCCCAACTGAATACGGAGAAGCAGAAATAAAATTTATTTTTATTTTATTCATATCTGCCTAAAGGCATATTTGATTAGAAAATAAGAACCTGCTAAGGATTAAGCATTTAGCTATATAAATCAGTCATTGCAGTTTTGAAGACTTTTTAAAGCCTAAAACTAGGAATCATATGGATATACCATAATATACATAACAATTTCCCTGTTGATTTTTTAGGCTATTTTCATATTTTTGCTATTGCAGACAACACTGTGTCTGAAATTCTAGATGTAAATCTTCCTCCTGAAACACTGCTTGTAGATGAACTCCAACAATCCACGAAATATAAGATAGTCTAAAGCATGGGTCCATCTGTAGTTTGGATGTATGAACCACTTTTGCTTTTCTCAAACAGGATGATCTAGAAAAAAAAAAAAGAAAGGCTGACAATAAGAAAGGGTAAGCCTCTTTAATGCAGGATGAAAAAGACACTGCAGTTTGCATTCTGTGGATGAAGGCAGATCTGAAAGTTTATGAGACATAAAGGCAGGCATGGGGGTGACTCACCTCATTGTCTTCTGGATGAAGCCAGGCACCAGGAAGATAAAGTGTTTCCTGTGGTCCAATATACCAATATCGCCCAAGGTTGTGTCCATTGATGAACACAAATCCATAATTCCAGTTCTGGAAGAGATGGAGGCTTGAGACGTGGAAACAGATTCACACTGGCAAGGTAAAATCTGAGGCACTTGGGGAGTGAGGGGAAGACTGAGATGGATTATGGCTGAAAATGAAAGTGGGATAAAATACAATGGGATATGTTCTAGGACTTTTACCCTGCTGTACCTGGCATAAGGATGACAGAGCAGGCCTTTTGCTTCCAGAAATAAGTACTAGGTGATAGAGATGAACACTGCCACTGACAACAATTGTAAAAGCTACACATTTTTTTTAATCTGCTTGTAATACAGTGTGTAGAGACCCAGGCCCAGACCCTAGGCTAAGCAAGCTCATTTTGGAAAGTACCCCCGCCCAGAGGCATTTAAAAACTCTTACTTCAGCCAAACATAACAGAATGTCCTGCCAAGAAAGTAAAAGATAAGCTACATGTTTTATAGCTCGTTAGAAGAAAATAAACCAGCCATGCTTTATGGCTTGTTAAAAGATAAGCTAACTATGTTTTATAGTTTGTTAAAATAAAATTCACTAACCGTTTTTTTTCCTTTTACTCACTAACCACTTTTTTTTTTCGCTTCTGTATCCAGCTTCAGCTATAAATTCCCCACCCACCAGGACTTCGAGGCCATTCTCCCCTTGCAGAGTGAGACGGTTGCCAGGCTTGGCTAATAAAGCCTTTAGAACGGAAACCTTTTGTCTAAGATTTTGTTAATGAGTGGTGACCCCAACACAATGAAGAACTATAGAAATAAGATATATTATAGAAGAAAACTGAGAGTCAAGAAGACATTGAGGCAGTTTTTCCACTACAGGCATCTGCCTATTCAGGAAGAGGTGGCTGAGAAGCTGGGCAGAACTTTCATAGCCTCACAAGTTCAGGGGAATAAAAATTGGATAACACGGTACCTTATAAATAATCTACACTATGGGTTGGGAACCTGAGGGTATACACCCTAGGAGAAGAGTGAACTAGAAATAGTCCAGTCATTGGACGGAAGCCTTGATTCAAATCATTTCACTCTTCGTAAATTATAACAAGGTCTAGTGTCCCTAGTCACCTCCAGAGTTGGATGTAAATCCCCTGACAGCATGTTAGACCTTGAATTATTTCTAGAAATTTTCATAATATCTGGCACTCAATAAAAAAATAATCAATGGAATACCATATACAATGGAATACTACTCAGCCATAAGACAAGATGAAATACTGCCATTTTCAACAGCATGGATAGATCTTGAGAGTATCATGCTGAGTGAAATAAGTCAGATGGAAAAGGATAAGAATCATATGACTTCACTCATATGTGGGATATAAAGCAGAAAACAACAAATGAATGAAGAAAACAAATAAATAAACAAACTCATTGACATAGACAACTGTATGGTGGTTACCAGAAGGGAAGGGGGATAGGGGAGGCTGAAGAGGGTAAAAGGGGTCAAATATATGGTAACAGAAGGAGACTAAACTTTGGATGATGAGCACACAATGCAACATACAGATGATGTATTATAATATTGTACACATAAAACATATAATTTTATTAGCCAATGTCACCCTAATAAATTTAATGAAATTCAAAATAAGTAAGGTTATCGTTATAGAATTAAAATTATAAAACTAAAAAATATAATAATTAAAATTATGAATTTAGCAGATGTTTTGAATAGATTAGGTAAAGCTAAATAGAGAAAATAGCTAAATAGAAAATTAGTTGACTGAATAATAAGAAAAATGAAATTTTCCAAAATTAAGCTCAGAGGGAAAAAAAAAAAGAGAAACACACAAATCAGGAAGAGACCAAAGGGCTATAGCAAAATGGTCTCACATATAAAACTGGAGTCTCTGAAATACCTTAGTTAAAAGACAAAAATTGCTGGACTGGATTTTATTCCTTTTTTTTTTTTTTTTAAGCTGAGCCATCCCGCCACCTGTTGGCAGCTCACGGCTGCTCAGCTCGGGCTGACTCGAACCACTGTTGCTCAGAGCTCAAACTCTTGAGTGAGCTCTTAACCAACTGAGCCACTCAGCCGGCCCTTGGACTGGATTTTAAATAAAGCAGTTATATGCTACATATAATAAAATCATCTAAAATATAAAGGCATTGAAAAATAAAACAATGGAAAAGATATACTAGGTAAATCTTAAGCAAAAGAAAGTTGCTATAGCTCTATTAATAGCAGAGAAATTTGATATTAAGGCAAGAAGCACTACTAAAGATAAATAGGAACATCTTCTGATGATAAAAGTCTATATGAATGTATATATCAAATATAGACAAGCTGAAAATATAGATTCAAAATATATAAGCAACGTTGATGGAATAACAGAAGAAATAAAATTCACAGCCACAGTGGAAATTTTTCATACAATGCTTCAATAGCTAATAGATAAAGCAAATAAGAATCAAGACATAAAACATTTGAAACAAGATGATTAACAAAATTGAACTAATTGACATGTATAGAATATTTATCTGTTATCTAACATATGCAGAAGACACATATTCCTTCAAGTATATATCAGAATCTTTACAAATTTTACCCTATGTTGGACTAACCAAGTGTTGTTAACATATTTTAAAGTTCTCAAGGTATAGTACAATTAAACAAGAAATAGATTACAAAAAGATTACCATAAAATATCTTTAATATATATTTTTTTAAAACTTATGGATGCAACCAAATCATGCTTATGTGAAAAGTAATAACTTAAATTCATATAGTAAAAAAAAAAAGATTAAAAAATCAGTTATCTAAGCATGTGCCTAAAGAAATTATAAAAAGAAAGCAGATAACTCCTACAATAAAATGTGGAATAAACAAAATAATAAATGTGATGGCAGAAATTAAACAGAAAATAAATACACAATATAGTAAGTGTCATAGCCAAACATTCATTCTTTAAAAAATTAATAAATTAGCTATGTTCTGGTGAGACTTACGAAGAAAAAAGAGATGTTACTACAGATGACCTAGACATTAAAACTAATAATTTAAACACAATATGTTTGTAAATTTAGATGAAATATAAAAAAAAATCTTAGAAAAATATATTTTATCTAAATTAATTTTCAAAGAAACAGAAACTCTAAAGAGTACTTTAATCTTGAAGGAATTTAATCCACACTTATAAACTTTCCCACAAAGAAAACATTGGCCTTGGATGGATCCACTAATGAAATCTATCAACTATTTAAAAAACAGGGCCAGCCGAGTGGCTCAGTTGGTTAAGAGTGCGAGCTCTAAGCAACAGGGTCACCAATTCGATTCCCACATGGGCCAGTGAGCTGCACCCTAGCTGAGCTGCCACTGAGCTGCCAACAGGTGGCAGGATAGCTCAGCTGGTGAGAGCACATGCTCCTAACAACAAGGTTGCCGGTTAGACTCCCACATGGGAGGTGGACTATGCCTACCCACAACAAAGATTGAATGTGGCACCTTGAGCTGAGCTGCCCTGAGCTGCCGATGGGCAGCCAGATGGCTAAGTGGATAGAGTGTGAGCTCTTAGCAACAAGGTTTCCGGTTGGACTCCTGCATGGGATGGTGGGCTACACCCATCTGCAACTAAGATTGAACACGGCACCTTGAGCTGAGCATCCGTGAGTTGCTGACGGGCAGCCAGATGGCAACTAGACTTGGAGCTGAGCTAGCTGTGCCTTCCACAACTAAGAATGAAGGACAACAGCTTGGCTGTTCCCCTTCCCCAATTCCCCAATAAAATCTTTAAAAATAAAATAAAATAAAATAAAATAATAATAATAATAATAATAATAACAACAACAACACCAGTCTTATACAAACTCTACTTCCCAAATCATTATTGAGATTATTAAACTTTGGTAACAAAACCTGACAGAGATATCTCAGTCATGAACATAAACAGAAAAGAAGCCTTAATTATTTATAATAGCCAAACACTGGAAATAATACAAATGGCAATCAACAGTAGGATGGTTAAATAAAGTATGGAATATTTGTAAAATGGAATCCTATACAACAGTGAAAATTAACAAATCACTGCAACATCACTAAATGGTTGAATCCACAATATTAAACAAAAGAAGCCATATATATATATATATATATATATATATATATATATATATATATATACTATGTATTAATACTTCAACTTACATAAAGTCAAATGAGGAAACACTGAGTTAGAATATAAGAAGTCAAGATAATGGTTACCTTTTAGGGAGAAG